CTTTAGCCGAATTCGATTAACCGGATTAGATCGATCTGGTTCAATTTAAGTGAACCACACTGTGTTCGATTGAGGCTAGATCAGTGAACCCTCTTCAACAAAAAATAATCTAGATCAGAAGAAGTACACTTAAATTGAACCCAAATCGATTTAATCTGGGTCAATCGAATTCAGCTTATATAGAGATACGTGGTATTAAATTCAAGATCAGTCCAGCCGTTCTCAAATTCAAAAAATAATAAAGTCACGTCGGTTGAATGGCAAGCCTAAATAAATGAAATATGGCAACGTTGTTTCATGCTGTCAAAAAAAAGTTGGGTTATGTTGTTATGTAATGTGAATGAGTTTGTTTACAAATAAATTAATGATTGATTCAAAATTAATTTATTTTTCCGAGATGCGTAATCTATCCACAAACCTTCCTTGGGATAGCCATTACAATCTACCAAAGTGTCATCGTAATCGGATAAGTGGTGTAGGCGCGCATAGCCGGATACCCGGCAAACATTGATTTTTATATATATATATATTTATAGTTTTACGGCTGTCTGATAATTTAATGAAAAAGTGTAACTTCATTAAATCCACTTTTTCATTATATTTATATAGATATAAAATGAAAAATTGAAGTTTATAGGGTTGCAGCCAAGTTTTGAATTCTTTTACAGTTTCTAAGGCATCAATAAGAGTCTCTTTTTACTTTTGAAAGCTTTCGGTAACTTTTATTACCTTCGTCAGTCACTACAAAATAGTTGTTACATAACTAATATAATAACTTAATAAATTAAAAATTAAAAAACTTACAGTAATTGAGGTTTTTGTCAATTGCTTACTCTCTGCTTTGAATAGGAAAATATTGGATATAATATTGATATAAAAAGATGTAAAAAGACTAAAAAATATAAAGATAATGTATGTAAATGGATTTTAAATTTGATTTTTTTGATTGACCAAAAATTTTTTTCAGGTTAAGACTTCAAATAAGAAAAATAAGGAGGATCAGAAACCTAAGAAATTATGTTCATGTCTAAAAGTGAAAAAATTTTTTGGTTTAAATGAAACATATATCAATTTATTCTATTACTAATCTACATATATAAAAATCAAAGTTCACGGGGTATCCGGATATGCGCTCTAAAACCACTTATCCGATTACGATGAAACTTTGGTAGGTTATTATGGCCATCCCAAGGAAGGTTTGTGGATAGGTTACGCATCTCGGAAAAAGAAATTAATTTTGAAATAATTATTGATTTAATTGTAAACAAACTCATTCACATTACATAACAAAATAAACCAACTTTTTTTGACAGCATGAAATAACGTTGACATATTTCATTTATTTAGGCTTGCATTCAACCGACGTAACTTTATTATTTTTTGAATTCAAGAACGACTGGACCGATCTTGAATTAATGCCACGTATCTCTATATAAGGTGAATTCGATTAACCCTGATTAGATCGATTTGGGTTCAATTTAAGTGAACTTCTTCTGATCTAGATCATTTTTTTGTTGATGAGGGTGCACTGATCCAGCTTGAATCGAACACAGTGTGGTTCATTTAAATTGAACCAGATCGATCTAATCCGGTCAATCGAATCGGCTATAGAGGAGAGTGATATAGGCTATTTTTCATCCCGAAAAAAAGTTCGGTTGCGTAAAACTCTGATACACTGGAACGCCTATAAACAGCCCGGGGCGCTCTAGAGCAGCTCTGGAGTGCTTAAAATGCGTCACGGCAAGCGACTCTGATATTGGATTAAAAAAAAAATTAAATAGAAAATCAACAACAAAATTTGAAAAGAAGTGTATTATTTCAAAATGTATTTACATGCTGGCATCGCAGCGGGTTGAATTTTGAATATCGGATTTACTATTGATTGTATTATTTTTGTTATTGATATGAATCATTTCTAAAAATAATCTCTTAAATTGTTATTTTCTTTTTCGAGAATTTTGATATTTTCAAAATCAGGGATGTGTCCCATGTCAAAAACATGTTGGCTTAAAGCACAAGCTTGTGGTCTCAATATTATGTCACTTTTATGTGATACTATGCAGTCTTTTAATAGCCTTGACGTTTGTCCTACATATATTTTATCGCAATTTTTGTAAGCAACTTGATATACTATTTGTGATGTTTCTAAAATTTTAGTTTTGTCTTTTAAATGTGTGAAAATTGATGAATTAGTTAAATAGGATTTGTTAGGAATAATAATGTTTTCATTTTCAAAAATAAATAAATTGATATAGGTTAAAAATGTTTTCACTTCTACACCTTTTCCATAAGTATTTCAGAATGTATCACTTGTATTTCAGATTCATCAATTCTATGGGTTTCAGATTATTTATTTGTAGATCAGAAATTGTAAATTGTATTTCAGAATTCGTCAAATGTATTTCAGATATTATCAATGTAGTGTATTAAATAAAATTTATAATGAGTCACCTATACACCTATCTTGTGTTGATTTGGGAAAATCTGCGTAGATACCTGATGATTTCTGAACTACATCTGACAATTTCTGAAATATAATTTACGTTTTCTGAACTACAATGAACTAATCTGAAATACAATTGACGCTTTCCGATATAAAACTATCTAATCTGAAATACAATTGACACTTTCTGAAATAAAATAAACTAATCTGAAATACAATTGACTATTTCTCAAATAAAATTAACTAATCTGAAATACAATTGACGCTTTCCGAATTACAATTTACTAATCTCAATTGCAATTGACGCTTTCTGAAATTAAACTGACGATCTCTGAAATACATATGGAAAAGGTGTAGACATGAACATAAATTCTTAAATTTCTGATCCCCCTTATTTTTCTTATTTGAAGTCTTACCTGAAAAAATTTTTTTGTCAATCAAAAAAATCAAATTTAAAATCATTTTTTCTACAAACGTGTTAAAAATGCAATTTTTAACACCCCCTCGAAGCATTAAAAATGTTACTTTATTGCACTAGTGTTAAAAGTCTTTAAGGCACTAGTGTTAAAAATGAAACATCAAAATTTGAAAGCAAACGTCAAAAAAAGTTTGTATTTTTAATTATTTACATTAATATTAATGGTAAAATTTGAACAACTGAGGAAGCTCCATTGGCCGCCTCCTCTATATTTTTCAAGGGATTGATGCAACCCTCTTTTTCTTGTGTATTTTGTTGCATTTTTAGCAAAAAGCTTACTGACCACGACAGACTTTCAAGAAACTGACAAGACATTTCATTACCTGTAAAACAAGGTGCTGGTTGTTTGAATTTTTTGACAAATATCAAATTCAATAATTTTACGTAGGAAAGATGCTTCCAATTTATTATTCATTTAAAAATCCAATTTGTCACTGTTTATTGCGTGTTATTGCCGTTTGTAGAAAAAATATTGTATGATATTTGTGTTAAAAGTATTTTTAAGGCACTATTGTGAATTGCAGAATTCGCTTCGCTCATTCTGCAAACTTTCACATGCGTGCCTTAAAAATGTACTTTTAACACTTATATCATAAATAACTATTACATACATTATCTTTATATTTTTTAGTCTTTGTACATCTTTTTATATCCAATATTTTCCTATTCAAAACAGAGAGTAAGCAATTCACAAAAAACCTCAATTACTGTAAGTTTTTTAATTTTTAACTTATTTACTTATTATATTAGTTATGTAACAACTATTTTGTAGTGACTGACGAAGGTAATAAAAGTTACCGAAAGCTTTTAAAAGTAAAAAGAGACTCTTATTGATGCCTTAGAAACTGTAAAAGAATTCAAAACTTGGCTGCAATCCTATAAATTTCAATTTTTCATTTAATATTAGACAGCCGTAAAACTATCAAGCTAAGCTAGATATAGATATAGATATATAGATAAGTAGGCGATTCCAAACCACACCAAATAATACCCAAAAAGATAACCATTTGGTGTCCCTGCCGTAAAAGAGAAAGAGCCCCAATAATTTTTTGCGTTTTCTTCCATTCCGTCAAACAAAACTCGTGAATTATGTTTGCTGTGGTCAAAAGAGAACGAATATAGATTGAATAAAGAAAGTTATACATAAAACTAATCGGTGTAGCTATTTTATTGGTATCCTCGAGGAAAATTCATGTTTTATGAGGGCAAATAAAGATAGAGTTAAATATAAATCTTCAATTTATACAATGATAAATTTTATGTTTGGATAGGATATTCAAAATTTCGTGTGAAGCTCTCGCCTGGGATTCTGAAAAATAGGTTCACGTTGTGAGCACATTTACTCATACTATTTACTGAGCGAATGCACAATGATCTCCAACGAACAAAAATTAAAATCTTTAATTTCGGATAAAAAAAAAAATGATGACAGAGTAGTGGACCCTCAATCCATCAGAAAAGAACTACCCAACTTAACTTTTCAGTTAATGTGGATCAATTATTCCATGTAAAAATGTGAATACAGATAATAGTCACTAGAATGCCAGGCCAACTCGTTTAACCCGAAACAATTTGAGAGTTTAGCTTCTGAAACTTTATCAAATATTTAAGACTAATTTAGCCAAAGTGTTTGGCTAATTTCTTCAAACGCTTGACTCAAGCGAGGCAGTAATTGAATTCTAGTAGCAAATTTGCAGTATCTTTTATTCAGCACAGCAAACCAAATTCAAGTCGGCAAATACAAAACTCGACATTAAATTTCATCGAAAATAGCTCGAAACGATAAGTATGGCAGTAAGCAAGAAACTGTAGTGATACCAGTGATACCTCGACAGGTATATTTCTGATTGTCGAGTTAGTTGTCATTAATTGATTATTGTCAAGTCGAGTGTCATTATATTGATTATTGTTCGTGTAAAACTTCAGAATTATTGTATTTAAATAGAAAGTATTTGAAGACATAAGAAGTTTCCTAGGTTCTTATTACTACAGTTAATCAGGTGTGGGGTCTGAAGCTATAGTGAAGCGGATGACGACGGATTTTGTTCCGAAGCCATAGGAGAGCGGTAAGATACAAAGATGGATAGAAATCAAGAAAACCAGACAATAAGTGCCGAAGATTTTGAAAGCTTTGCTTCTGGATTTGCAAATGAAGCTACAGGCACTAACAGGGGCAATAATGCTTTCAATATGACCGAATTTATGACTTCAATTAACCAGGTTATGAATCAAAACGCAATGGTGTTACAGGCTCTTATGAATAATCAGCAGAATCAAATTCCTCAGCGTAATTATGCAGTTATACCCGATTTTTCAAAGACTATTTCAGATTATGCTGGTGAAGATTTGGACAAAAGCAAATCTTGGCTTGAATCCCTCGAAAGTGCTGCTACACTCCACCATTGGCCAGATGAGTTTATTTTGGAGACGGCTAGATCGAAGCTTACTGGTGCGGCTCTACATTGGTATGAAGCACGATGAAGTAGAATACCGTCATGGCTAAAATTCAAACAAGAATTTCAAGATACTTTTATCCCTCGTAAGAATTTAACTTCTCTATGGAAAGCAATGACAACACGATGCCAAAAGTCAGGTGAGGATCTAAGTTTTTATTATCATGAAAAGATTAGATTATGTCAGGATCTTGGTTTGAGCTTTGATGAACAAAAAGAACAAATTATAATTGGCCTTTCTTCACGTGAACTCTCAAGCATGCTACTGACCAAAGATCACATTGATGTTAATGATCTTTATCATGACATGATCAATTATGATCGTATAGTTAATGAAAGACGTACTAGACACACAGCGCAAAGTGCTATTAGGCCAAAACATCTACCTAAAAATAATATGCCTGTGGTGAATGCCTCATCCATATCTGGTGCTAGTAGAACTGTTCAAGTGGAGCCAAAGAAAGCTAGATGTTTCAATTGCTATGAGGAAGGACACCTAATTGCAAATTGTCCTAAACCTAAACGAGAAAAAGGATCCTGCTTCAGTTGTGGTTCAAAACAACATTTGAGAAATGTCTGCCCTCAAAGGACTTCAGTGACGCCTGCTAGTACTACTATGGTTATAGGATCTTCTACAAAAGATGGGACTTATGAACTACCACTGGATATAATGTATCAGAGTGATGAGGTTAAAGGTAGTATAACTTTAAAAGCCATGTTAGATACTGGTAGCCCAATAAGTTTAATAAAATCCAAATATGTGCCATTCTATTTGCTTAAAGAAAATAACGACAGTAGTTCCTATTTTGGGTTAAATAATTCTAAGTTAGAAGTTTTAGGTGTTTTAAATGAAAGAGTAGTTATTAACAATGTGGATGTCCCAATAAGATTTTTTGTAGTAAAAAATGAAACCATGACTGTACCCTCAATTTTGGGAAGAGATTTTACCATGTTAGAGAATTTTGAGATCACTCTGGGCGAAAACGTCACTATCAAGAAGGTTCAAAGTAAGTTCAATAACGTTGTCAATAATGAATTATTATTTATTGATTATGACTTTGATAAAACTAACTTTTCATTAAATATTAATGCTCAAATTGACCCAATAGTAGTTAAAAAGGTAAATGATTTATTTCTTGAAGAATATTTAGAGCCTGAACGTTCTGATACCCCTGAAGTTGATTTAAAGATGAAAATTAGCTTAGTTCATGAACAACCATTTGCTTTTAGGCCTCGTAAGTTGTCTTATTCAGAAAAAAATGAATTGAGGAAAATATTAGATGAATTAGTAGAGATAAATGGCCGGTTCTGCATCCTCCGACGCCTCCGACGCCTCCGAAGCCACTGCGCATGCTCCAACCTGGGTGTGGCGACGCTCTGACGTCAGAGCGTCGCCTCATCTACCCGCGCCATCTGTTGAGCAAACCGAACATTACCCCCACCCCCACCCCCACCCCAACCCCTTCCCCTCCCCGCGCGCCATCTATCATCAATCATTCAAACTCATCTACGAGCACCATCTAGCGGAAAGAACAAGAACGTGGCGCAGCTCATCTACGAGCGCCATCTAGCGGAGAGAACAAGAACTTGGCGGTTGCAGCGAGCTTTTTTTTTTACCCGCACGTTACCAATCGTTCCGTACCATCCACGCACGAATTAAAAAAAAGTCTATGTCGCTGCTGGGAATCGAACCCGAGGCGCCCGCTCCATAGTCACCGTCAGCCAGTGCTATAACCAAACGAGCTAAGCTTGCCTTGGATATTAAACCGCTAAATGTTGTAGACATGAAAAAATAGGCTTGGCTTATTGTCGTTCGGTTAGCTGGTTCCGTTGCTAGGCTAGCCTCGCCTGATTTCTATTATTATAAATAATATTCTCTGACGTAACAATAATTTAATTACAACATTCGTTAAGTAATAGAAATAATATTGTTAATGTCCTAATGGTAGAGAACATTAAACGGCTGCTTGTATTCCGAGAGCTTTAGGAATAAAACAATTATATTTTTAATTAAATTCTATTTATTAAACCATAAAGTACATTGGCTTTTACCCATATGATAAACCATTTTAAATAACAAAATTTCAAAAATCATAGATATATTTATTATACAAGCATATAGTAGGTTAGTGACGTGAACCGGGGCTATTTCCTTGTTTAAAACAGTCCCAAGAGTTATCCAGTCCTTGCTTGTTAAAATGCTTTTATTTAGAAACTCCACTTGTAGCTTATACTGATAGAAATCAGAGAAATGAGAATCAAAAAAAATCAGATGACACCATGAGATAAGGAGCCGCGGTCAAATTTCGGAAAAAGCGCCAAAAATTTGAGGTTGGTCCGGGTTAAATCCCCGAAATTTCAGATCTAAGGCGTCGCCGATCCAGAGATTTTCCCACGCTATCGAAAAAGTTCCCAGGCTCAGGTGTCCCCGTTACTACATCGGTTTTTACCCATATGATAAACCATTTTAAATAACAAAATTTCAAAAATCATAGATATATTTATTATACAAGCATATAGTAGGTTAGTGACGTGACCGGGGCTATTTCCTTGTTTAAAACAGTCCCAAGAGTTATCCAGTCCTTGCTTGTTAAAATGCTTTTATTTAGAAACTCCACTTGTAGCTTATACTGATAGAAATCAGAGAAATGAGAATCAAAAAAAATCAGATGACACCATGAGATAAGGAGCCGCGGTCAAATTTCGGAAAAAGCGCCAAAAATTTGAGGTTGGTCCGGGTTAAATCCCCGAAATTTCAGATCAAAGGCGTCGCCGATCCAGAGATTTTCCCACGCTATCGAAAAAGTTCCCAGGCTCAGGTGTCCCCGTTACTACATCGGTTTTTACCCATATGATAAACCATTTTAAATAACAAAATTCCAAAAATCATAGATATATTTATTATACAAGCATATAGTAGGTTAGTGACGTGAACAGGGGCTATTTCGTTGTTTAAAACAGTTCCAAGAGTTATCCAGTCCTTGCTTGTTAAAATGCTTTTATTTAGAAACTCCACTTGTAGCTTGTACTGATAGAATTGATCTCGAGTAGCTGGAAGGTTTGTTTGGAATGTAGGTGTACGGTTTATGATGCGATAACATAGCGGAATCCATAAGCCAGTTGAATAATTGTCCGATTTCAGCTGAATCCTAATATTTCGCACATTTGATGATGGTGTATGTATATAGAGAACATTTTGAAAAATAGCGGTGAGAGCTATAAAACTGGAACTTAACCAAACCATTGCTGCTATGCAAATGAGATTTTTCACTAATTAGCAAAAGCTTTTATGCAAAAAGGGCATGTTTTCTGTGACGATGGAGGTCCATCAACATGAGTCCTCCAATCAGGTCTGTTGTAATGTATAAAACATGGTAATTTTATTTGCAACTCAAACTCTTGCCTATGTTCTACTGGCAGCAGACCCCAAATATGTAGAAGCGTAGAACTATCGACATATTTTAAGAAGAAATCAATTGGTAATTCTTTTAGTTCTTCAGCACTACATTCTCTAATATTTTTTTCTCCCGAAAGGAACTTCAACAACTGGTCACACATCTTTGAAAGCTTAAGTTATACTAAGGAAAATAAAAAGCAAAAAAAAAATATTTTTATAGGTTTATTAAACAACGATGACAAAGGTGATGTCATTGGTTAATTTTATTAAAATCATCAATTATTCTATTAGGGTTAAGGTGTATAAATTCTAGCATAAAGTACGATAATTCGGACATATTTAATTTACAGCCTTCCTTGATGACATCTAAACAATTATTTTTACAGATAGTTGAAATGTTATAATAATTTAAAAGTTGATCATAATACGTTCTAAAATCCAATTTTCGGAGAAGACTTAACCTACAATTTACAATATGTTTATTATCTAAAAATGCCTTAATATCATTTATACACAAATATAAATAAACTTCTCTACTACATAACTTAATTAGTCGTTCCCCTAAAAATACAATTGTTGAAACAGTATGGTTTTTCGAGCATAACACAACTGTTTTCGTATCTTCGTCGGGTAAATTCGAAAATAACTCCACGATTTCCAGAAATTCAAACCACTCAGTCTCATCAAATGATACAGTCACTTGTTGTTTAGGTAGATTTGTATACGTGCTGATAATTTTAACACTAGACACCAATCCTCGGGCTATACTTACTCCCGCAATAATCTCAAAATTCTTGACTAAATAGCTAGTCTCTCCCAAAAACTTAGTTTCATTCTGGATTTCGCGGCTACTTCTTAACACCATACTGTTAAAGTACTGCTCCCAGCAAGGTGAAGAAACAGTTGAACTATCACCACTAGATAATATTCCAGTATCCATACTATCTTCTTTATCTGGCCAATAGGGCGAAGAACAGGTTAAGCCATCACTAGTCAATATTCCAGCATCTTCACTCTCCGTTGATGTTATTGTTCTCGAATCTGACATTGTAGACTCGATAAAAGTACACTGGCTTTGGAGCTTATATAGATAAAAAAAAATACCCCCCCACTCTAATTATTTTAACGGCTTAAACTTGTTTAAGTTTACCTCCAGAAAGAGAAGTTTAGATAGACTCCAACCACTATCAAGTTCCTGAAATTCACTAGATTTGGCAACAAGGACCTCTCTAAATGTCTCAAATATTTTCTCAATGTCCGTGTCAGTAGAAATTATAATAAAACAGGAATTAAAAGATTTTATTTCCTGTATCTCTTGTAAAATATACAATCCATACAATTCCATATTAAGTTTTATGTTAGTGTGCGTAGAAAGATTTTTTCGCATCAAATCCATGATTTTTGGTTTCAATTCCCCCATATAAAGTCCAACACTGGTAGGATGAAGATTTGTTGATAATCGATAGGATATTAAACGATTTTTGAAAGCCGTTTTAAGAATCTGAACATTAGGTTCCAAATCATTACAACACTTGTTTTTATGCCTATGACTTAGGTTATGCGAATAAGAAGAAATGGCTTCATCGCAGTCTTTGCAGTATAAGCTCATTATTATAAATGGTTGACAAATT